TTAATATTCTAAATTTTATTATTATTTTTATTATATTTTATATTTTTATTATTTTACGTATTTTTATTATTCTCAATGTATTTATTTTACTTGTATTTTATTCTGCTAAATTAGTTAGTTTATAGCATAGTAAATAGTTAGCCATGATAAAAGAAATTTTATATAAATAGATAGACTTTTTGCTTATATTGTAAATTAACTCTTTTACAAATATAAGTTTTAATATTAATAAAGGAATAAATTAAAACTTATATCTTTCTGCCTTTTCGTGTCTTTATATAATTTAACGTGATCCCTACACATTATTTGTAATTGAGTTTCTCATCTGAATTCTTTAATTAAAACTGTTCATAATCTCATCTTTCAAGTCTTCATACTTGATAGATTTGTTTAAGTTTAACGTGTAAATTTAGTAAAGTTAAGAGTTAGGCAGATCCTAACGTCTTGATCACAGTAATTTGCAGTGATAAATTTTGAGTAGAGACTTAATAATGTGATCACCTCGAGTTGAAGAATTTCACAGTGACAATATGTGGGTTTTTTACAATAAAAAAGAAGGAAATTATCAAAAAAATTTTTTTTGAGTTAATATTAAATCTGAATTTATTTTATTAAAAAAAATAATAATTAGCTTATAAAACAAAAAAATTTTTTTTTTTGATAATTTCCTCTCTTTTTATTATAAAGAGCCTATATATACTTTAACTAAAGATAATCATTAAAATTAAAAAAATAGCATCTTTGAGTTATAACTTATAGCACAATTAAATTTTCTTATAGCACAATTAAGTTGCAACTCAATTGAAATTTGAAAATAATTATGGGGATCATCTTTAACTTTAGCACTAATTAATTTTAATATTATAAATTATTAATAAAATAATTATATTTATTAAAATATAATTTAATTAGTAATTTATTAATTCGTACTAAAGTATACATACATATTAAAATAGTTTTACACAATTTCTTAAAAGTGTGTTATATAGATTTTAAAGGTATTTTTTAAAATATGTCAAATACATAATTATTTTTCTAATATATTTATATTATATAATTTTATATACTATAATTAGACTAATGATCATTTTAATAGCAGTATTTTAGTTTATATGCATAGTTATTATAGCTATTGTCTTCAAAAAAGTCAATTTAAATGTTTAATTTATTTAAATTATTTTTAGAATAAAATAAAAAATATGTGAATGTATTCTAATAAATATAATAAAAAAAAATAGTCCAATTGAATTACAACTTATAACACAATTAAATTTTCTTATAATGCAATTAAGTTGCAACTCAATTGAAATTTAAAAATAATTATGAGAATCATCTTTAATTCAGTTGAAAATAAGATCATTAATAAAAATATAGAAAATGAAGACAAAGATAATTTAAATAATGCTGAAGCAGTAATAGACAATCTAATTACAGATAATTTATTAAAATTTGTAAAAAAAATCATTTTTAAAATTATAAACTTACTATCTTTATATAAAATTTTCATTTTTATTAATATTTTAAATAAAATAAACTATTAAAATACTTAAAAATAATCTAAAAAAAATGATTTAAATTAGCTAAAAAATTCAAATTTATTATTTTAATAATTTATAATTTATTATCAATATTTTTATAATATGTTCTTTTGTCTAATAAAAATTGTATTAATATTTATATATTTAAAATTTTAAATTTAATTTGTCAATTAATAAATAATAATATTAAAACTTCATAATTTTTATTAGTTGATTTATATGATAATATTGAATTTTTATGTAATTTATAATGATCACTCTTGTTATAATATTTTTTATAAATTTCTGAAAGTTTTTTAATCATTATAATAGTAATTATTCATATTGCAAATTATAGTATATCTAAATAAATTAGTAAATTAAACAAAATTTTCATTTATTTTAAAAAAATAAATAAATAATAAATCTTATAATTATTTATTAAATTCTTCTATTATTACCTATTTAAATACTATTATAAAATTGTTTTAAGATTAAAGTTAAAAATAAAGTTTTATTATATTTTTACCATATGATATTTTCTGAATCAGAAGTAATTTTGAAAGTTATAGTTGAGAAAATTAAAAGGAACTAAAAAAGAGAGATAATTATCTGAGTTTTTGTTTTACAATTTCTTCAAAAATAATAAATTATAAGAATTGTTGTATAACTAATGCTTTTGATTTTCCTCTAAAAATGATATATTAGTCTTTAAAAAGAAAAGATAAAAAGCTAAAAGGTATTTTTATTCTATTTAATTCTTGGAATTTAATATTTTTAGAAGTTTATTGTTATTATTTACTGGATTGAAAATTTAAGAATTAAAGTTAAATTAAAGTTAGAATCAGATGAATTGAAAAAAAAAAATAAAAGTTTGTGTTTACATTTTTGCGTGTTTGTATCTAAAAAAAATGGCATTTTTATATAAACTTACTCCGCAAGTAAAATAAGTATGAAACATTTTCTGAATTTTCGGGATGGGTCAGGACAGGTAATTTAAAAATCAAAATTTTACTACTTTGAATAATAATAATATAGCTCGTATTTAAAATAAATTTAGTTTATAATAAAGTTTAATGCTGGCCGAATATAAAACTTAATTTAGCATGATTTCTTTAGGCATATATAATGCGCGCTATCAAAATTAAAGTAACACAACCATAATTTTTAAAATGTAAAAAAAATAAAACTTTTCTCGAATGTTTGTAATGTTTATATTTATGATTTTTGATATGATTAACTGTTAATTATTATTCAAATTATTTATAGGATTAATACTACTTTGACTTTTCTTGAATAGCATTGTGAAGACGTATTTTCAATATATCACAATATTCATCTTTCTCAACTACCTCTAACAAATATTTTGGTTCTATAAGAATTGCTTCTAAAGGTATTTCAAATCCTAATTTATCAAATATTATATGAATCAAAGCTTCAATGCCTTTTCTTTCTTCTCCAAGGTCATTATCTAATACAACTTTAAATATTTTACTAAGATTCTCTATGAATAAAGTCAAAATTGGTCTAGGCACAATTGTCATCTTATCTTCTGTATCAGGAGATGCTGTAGTAAAACAATACTGAAACCAACAAAAGTGCGATGACGCGTAAAAAGTAAAAATAAACAGCGTTGTAAGAGTTTGTAAATTTTTTAGTACTTCGGATGAATTGGTTTGGAGAGAGAAAGAAAATCTTGAAATTCGAAGTCGAGAAAATGATGACAACCAAATATCAAGTATTATTCGGTTAATTTCTTTAAAATCATCATCCTAAATAAAATTTGTTATTAAAAGGGGGTAAAAAAAATTAACAATAAAATTCCATGTTACCTTGCTCGATGAATTAGAATCATTTACGAAATTTTGATATTTTTCTTTGCATAATCTGTGCAGTAATGCCAGAGTAAGAATCACTCTCGTCATAAACCTAAGGTTATCACAAATAATAGTTGTAAACAATAAGTAAATTTAGAACATCGTCATAAATTTACTTACTTGAACGGGACATTTATGGCGAATTCGGCAATATCCAATAGTAAAAGAATGATTTCATCTCTTCTAAAAGTTAAAAAGTTTTCATAAATTGGATTCAACTCGGTTTTACGATCCGTTAATATATTGAAAATATCAGAATATTCATAATCTAAAATATCCTAGAATTCGATTAGACGATTACTTTTAATTTCTCTGTCAAGGAATAAAAGAATATGTATATTTTAATAAAATTAAACCTGATTATTTTTGAGAAACTGTGCAAGCTCTAACTCTAAAAGTTCAAGACGATCCAAATATTCGTTCACGATATTATTATACATTAAAGTTGTCAGAAAAGGTTTCATCTTCAACTTTTGTATTAATTAAAAGAGTTAATAGATGGATTAATTGTTACAACGAATTAAAGCATTAAAGCATATCACTATTGTAATTATCATACCGACTCAATTTCCTGGAATGTTATCAATTGTCCAAATCTTAATTGATTTAACAAAAGATCGATTTGGCTGGGAAATTCAGCTTTATAAATTTTAAACCTGATTTAAATTATAAATAAAAAAAAAGTTAAACAATAACTTATATATATTAAAATAATAGGTTGAAGCATCATACATAATATGAAGCGGGCGTAATTTTGTGAAATCTTGACGCGAAATAATCTATATAACATAAAATTCACAATGAATGATTGAAGTAAAAGCCAAATCCTTTACAGCTATGAATTAATTGCGCACCTTACAAAGATCCGATTGATATATTCGATGTTCACTTGGATGAAGCGTAACAATATCTAAAATATCTTGACACGCATGTAATCTGATGGTATTGAAGAAATTATTATGATATTATATGAAATCAAACTACAAAGGTTTTTTATACTATATCATCATGCATACCTCTGAGAAATAATTATTTCTTCATTAGTATAATCTGGGTTTACTTTAATATCATTAACCTTTGAAATTCCTTGTACCATTCGTAAGAGCTCAATATCTTCATATAACAAAGTTTTCGATATCTTTAAAATATAATTAACATCTAATTAGAATATTTTATCAAGAATTAAAATAAATTTTTTTTTTTTACCTTGCAAAACTTTTCAGAAAGAAAAGCACGAAAAATTTTAATTCTTTGGAATTCTGCAGCATCCGCGTCGACATCTTCGAGATTAATTGAATATAGCCATCCAGCCTGATCTCTTATAAATGATAGTAACCACTGAATAGTTTGTCCCGGTATCTCACTATCATCAAAAACTTGTTTAATTAACAGCTCAAGGCTTGGTCTGAATGGAACTTTTCATGATGTTTAAACTTCAGATTTTATTTATTATAATTCGTGCGAAATTTAACAGATTATATTATTTATACTGACAAAAGTTATTCGGTAGCTTGAATGTATTGAAAAACTTCAATATTGATGTATATGATTTGGGATTCGCCGATTCACGTAATCTTTTTGCTAAAACATGAGCCAGAAAATTTCCATTGAACTAAAGAAGAAAATCGTAAAACGAAATAAATGTTAATATACTTTAACATATCTCACGTGTATTAAAATTTGTACATTACCGTTAAATCACCATCAGGTACAATATTATTTGAACAAATATAAGTCAAAAGGATGTTTTGATATGATTTATATGTACTATTTTATTTTAAATAATCATTAAAAATTACAGTAATAGAGTATAAAAAATATTTAATAAATGCAAACCTCGGAAGCCTAGCGGCAATTTCAGGCGCGACTTCCCAAGTATGAGAATGTAAATAGTTATATTCTGTGGAAATTACAGCTTTTGACTCGACATGGTCAAGAAGTAAATTAACAAAAGTTTCAGGTTCCATTTTAATGTCACCGGACAATGTCTCAAAAATTTTGAGATAAAGATTATCAATAAATAATATCAGTTTTGGTAATTCATTTTTTTAATTTTTATATTCCGCTCTATTATATTTTTCAAATTCTGATTTAAATTTTTTTTTTCTGAATTAATATTCAAATTTTGTCAAAGAATACAGGCTTTTTAGAGACGAAGTGAAGTTGATCAGTATTGAATTACTTAATTTTTATTATTCAGTAAATATTTATATGATTATTTTTTTATATTTGTATTAATATTTTATTTTTATTATATTAATTTTAGATTAAATTTCAAAAGTAAATAAATTCAAATTGATTTATTGTATTTTAATAAATATTTTACAAAAATATATTAAATTAGAATAGTAGTTATCTATAGCTTAAGATCTGACTCATTCTCTTTTTACTTATACTAAAATCAAGAAATCTCAAAACAATATATCACATGATCTTAATAACAAAAAGAAAACATTATAAATTATAATATTAAAAGATTAGAAAATAACTAATTGAATGGAGAATCATAATAGATATATAATTAGCTGAAATCTTATAATATAGAATAAAGTTAAATCAAATAATAAGTAATATAAACTTATCATAAACAAATCACAAAATACAGAAAAATAAATTATTAAAGTTAAAAAAAAAAATTTGAAATTAAAGAAGAAAAAAAAACCTATAAATATATGTAAAAATTACACAAAAGTTCAAATAAAAAAAACTAACCAAATGAAATTATAGAATACTTATGTAATTTTTATTATTAAAAAATTAATGAAAATAATAAAGAAAAACTGGGTGGCTAGTTTCAAACAAGATTTAGAAGTAATTTTACACATAGCAGATGAATTCTATAGTCTCACCAGATCTGCACTCAACAAAGACAAATCAAAACTGTTGATGACCTGCCCTATCAATGTCCTTCCTGTTCCTATCAAATTTGGCTCAACCACCGTTGATATTACTCCTAAAATAGGATCAGTACGGTTCCTAGGTGTGTGGATTAATAGTCAAAGAGCTCAATCGTTCGTCAAAAAGCAGCTCGCGTTCGATGTGAACTGTTTTGTCACCTCTATGAAATATAAACTATTAACAAACAAACAAATATCGTATATTATTAATATGGTTTTGTTTTTCCTGCTAGAGTATTGTATGCAGTTAACACCCCTTTCAAAAAATGAATATAATAAAATTTTCGCTCCCATATGTTCACTTTTTAAACATAAAAATAAATTCACTCTTACCCTTCCCAACACTCTTTTGAACTCCAAACAATTTTATAACTTAAGCGACCTTTGGTCACTGCAAATCAAATCCCTTTTAACCGTTCTTATTTACCAATTTAACAACTCATCCCTTTATAAGAACATTTCTTTAATTTGACTTTACCATTTACAGTCAAGCAATGTTCTTGTTACATCCCCTTTAAATTATTGGTCACATTCTTTTAACAAACGTTCACATAAAAATCTAATCAGTACCTCCATTTCCCTTATTAATTCTTCATTCTCAAAACTTTCTCTTAATATTTTCCCTCTTCTTATGAATAAAATTACCAGAGGCATCCAACCCATCACTAATATATTTTCTAGTAGTCTACTGAAACGATATAATAAGATTCTCACTAACTATAACTTATATTTTCTAGATCAACTAATCTCTTCATCAGGTCATCATTTAATTACTACTTCTGATTTCTTTCTCAAAGATTTCGATCACCAGTCAAAAAGATTTGGTTTATCTGATTTTTTCTATAAATTAGACAACATTGTTTTAGAAAATCACGTACATAGATTGCTCAAACTAGCATTCAGACTAGCTTTCCCCTTACTATGTTACAAAACCATTTTTCAAGCGCCCACCCTGAATAGCCAAACGAAAGAAATAGTATCAACCTGAAACACAACGCTCAATGGTCCAATCTTCAGAAAAATTATAGCTGATGTTTCAAACAGTAGCCATCTCATCTGTTACTATTTCACCTACAACATCAACCATAATAATGCTTGTCAACTTGTTAAATACTCTGGTTGTCCTCTCAGCAGACAGACCGTTTTATCTGGGCATTGTATCATTAATATCCCTAATGCCCTGGCCTACTTAGTTCAGATCATTCCTAAGCAATCACATACAGTCAAGAATCAACCTAAATAATCATTTAGAGAGATCTCTTGTATCACCAATATGATCTTTCACAATTCATACGATGACCTCCCACTAATAACTCTGCTCTCTGCAAACATTATCGATCTTTTTATTTAACTATTGATGCATTCACCCAAGCTTAAACAATTACAATTCACATTCATTAGTGCTACAGCTTTAATATTTTACACCGATGGCTCCTTAATAAGATCCAGGACGGACAGCTGTAAAATGGGATTCAGTTGGATTTGCTTACACCCAAACAATAGTCCATTTATCTTCAAAGCCTCACTTACAAATTGGCCCTCTTCTACGCACGCTGAAATGTATGCTCTCCTTACTGCCCTCATAGTATTCCCAAACAACACAGTAGTGGACGTCTATCTACATAGCCAGACAACAATTTATGGCTTTAACAAATACATGCTCTCCAACCATCTTTCTCTGAGAAAGCTTGAAAAAGTTTCCAATTATATGATTTGGAACATTATCTGATACATTACTGATTAACTCAACCTTCAAGTTTCACTTCACAAAATCAAAGCACACGCTGGAAATTATTATAATGAAATAGCAGATAGATTAGCTAAAGATGGATGTGATACACCTTCTTTATCTTTGCTACTTAATAATGTCCTCTCGTTAGATCTCTCATTTTGCTTTAATAATATTCCTATTGAGGTTTCTATTAGAGGTTTTTTCAAGCAACTCTTTGTCGCACAAGCTTTTGACGACTTTCTGGACTTGAACAGGAATGACAAACTCAGAGTACTCACAGCCAATAAATCTATAAATTGGTTTGCTATCTGAAACCTTTTTTCGATGAACACCTTCTCTCTCTTTACATCTTTTGCTTCATGTAAGCTCAAATCATTCATAATTAAAAAATTCATTGACGAACTTCTTTTACTATTACGTCTTACACTATTAAGATCTGACTTATATGAACACTGACCTTGTGTGGGTTGTTACGTTACTACTGAAACTGCTTTTCATATTTGGACATGTCTACAGTACTCCTCAAAAATTATAGACACGATCTCAGCCATCAAAAATGAACTTATCGACCAGCTAAGCTCTTTATACAGAGTCAGATATACAACACACCAATCTGAACTAGAGGATGTACTTAATAATACCTTTGCATCGCCTTCAAATACTTCTAATGGTTACATTGATATCATTCAATTCAGAATTTCGTCTTCCCTAATAGATATTGTTCACAAAATAGCTGGCAATAAAGAGCGATGCCTCTCTATCATCTCACGCTTACTACTCCTCTTTCACCAAAAGCTATACAATGACGTCTGGAAATGTCGTTGCAACTTAATAAATGTCAAAGAGCGTTCAATAGGTATCACTAAACAAGATAAGCGTAAATGAAGTGCCAGTTCACCCATATCTCACAGACAGACATCAAGCCCCTCTTTTAACTGGAAAACTTGGATACACCTTGCGAACAAATTTGGCTACGTGTTCTCAGATTTTTAGATAGGCACTGACGTCTTCTTTATCTTTCCTTGCTGATGTTAATTTTCATTAAGTATGCATTTAGTGGAATTGATGGAGGGGAAAGACGATGATAGGTCAATTCAAATAGGTTTGTAATATAACTACAGAGAATAGCTAATATTTAGCATAAATTTATTTTCGATTTACTTTGTATTTTCTTATATATAAATTTAATAAAGTTACTAGCAATGCCACATCGTTAAAAAAAAAAAAATAATAATAAAGAAAAAATATAAATATATATTATATTTTAAATGATAATTATTATTAATCAACAAATTGAGACACATTAACTTTCATTTAATGAATATTAATTATCAGCTAACACAAATAAAAAATTATCAAATTAAATTGTTTTTTTAAGAAAATATTAATTTTTATTAGTTTATTATGTATATTATTAAATTTAAAATAAAACTATCATATAAAACTTTTTTAAATTTTATTAACAAAAAATTTCAAAGAATTTATTGTATTATTTATTATCTAACCTGTATAATGATAAATTTAACGAGAAATAAGTAAATAATAATAATATAATTAAAAATAAATATGAAACTTACTTTACTTCTTATTTTAACATTATTAATTACTATAATATCGATTACTACAAATATTTCTCAATTTTTATATTACATTTCTTATTACTATAAGATTTTTTATAATTGTATATCAAACTTGTAATTATTTCTATTTTGAAAATATGCAATTTTATAGAAATTAATTTTATCTAAAAGTATTTCATTAAGTTCTAAAAATTTTTTAATATCAAATAATTCAATTTCACTTGCTAGATAAAGAATATTGATAATTTAAATTTACTTTTAACTGATATTGATTAATGATTTTTTTTTAAAAATTTACATAAAAATGTAAATCAATTAACATTAAAATGATTAATTTTTGAAATAAAAATTCTAATTAAATCATTAATTTTATAATAGATTAACCTTTTTCTTTCTTTATTTATTTGGTAACGTTAGATATCAAGATTCACAAAATTCTATTTTAGATATATTTCATCAATTCAAAATATAAAATAAAATAAAAAATTATCAAGATCAATTTTGACTGAACGAATTATATAAATCATCAAATATGAATTTAACTATTTTTTGATATAATTTTTAAGAACTTACTATAGTTTTTCTTAATATTTTATGGTTTGTAATTATAGTGATATTTTATAATAGTATAGATAATATTTTATTCATAATATCAATAAGAATAGGGTTATTTTTCTGATTTTATGATAATTTTTTAACTATTTTTTTAATTAAAAATTTAGATAATATAGTAATAGAAATTTTGCAAAATAACAAAT